TATTCTTGGGGTTACTTGTGGGGTTGTTTGCAGAAGAACCGGCTCCCCTTCCGTCAAAAAACGCCAAAGTGAGTCTATTTCCTTCTCCCTAATGCGGGATGTCGGTAACACCTGCTTTAAAAGCTCAGGAAATCCATCACGGTTCACAGTGCCTGTGGTGCCATTGCATACCCGTTTAAAAATACATTGTATTTCATCAAGGCGATTCTGGAGGTGATTAAATGCCATTCGAATTTGTGCCTTTTTCTCTGCGAGCGATCTATATTGTCCCTGAATGGGGTTCACACGAAACATGCACACAGCCAGGATAAGCAAAGAGTTTACAAAGCACTGAGCGAGGCGTATCATAAAGGCGGTCACACCAGTTGCTGCGTAAACCATAAAGAACGGCTGTTGCAACCGGCTGTCTACAGTGGCCACAAACTCCAAGACGATCCCCAATGCAATTGCTCCGTAACAGAATGGAAGCAGCACCACATACGTGTCAGACGGCAACAAAAACCCAAAGAGGGTTGTAATAACCATCAGAATAGAGACAAGATCCATGACCATAAAACTCATAATGATCATCAGGGGAAAAACGGCTAGCGGTAAGTAATATCCCATAAACTGCTGTATTTTCCTCAACCTTGCTGGGTATCGCACAGAGAAGAGTTGCCATAGTAAAAATGGAGGCTCATAAAAATATTCCCTGTGCTCCTCCAACTCACGTCTTGATATGCGGCGCCAACTACCATGCACATAACGTGAGGCCACAATGGTGTACGACAGGAGCAAAAATTGTGCGCCCCTTCGAAAGACCGCACTACTTTTAAATATCTTGGCCCAATCACATTCATACCGCATGATACTCCAGGCATCAATAGGTTCCCCGTGCTCAAGAACAATTTGCTGCACAACTGGTGACTGCGCCAACAGTCCCCCCGCGAGCAGTAGAAGACTCACCACCGTACACCCTTTCGTGGCCACCTCCAATAATCGAACCCGTAGAACTGGGAATGAAGAGATCGAAAAAGACATAATACACAAGAAATGAACAACGAACAGAGGCGTGCAGTCGTAAGTGGGATATAAAGAGGCGGTCACTGGTGCGAGCAAGGCAAGGCACAGCAGAGAACTACGATGAAACAAACGGTTTGGCTCCGTTGAAGGTTGAAATTGATGCTTGCGGAGTAGAAAACAAAGCGATGCACTTGAGACTGCTAAAAGCGTCGATGACACGACATTGACCACGAGGGGAAGGACGTCCTTTCTTCCCCACACTCCAAGGCTATTCAACACCGCCTTTGGCCACCCCTGCTGCATGAATGATAGACCAAGCAACCAACCAAGGGTGGCGGCAAGAAACAACTGTAGGCAGGAGAAAACCAGACTCACGTACAACAGCAGTTGAGAAGGAAGAAGAAATGAAAGCAGTGACACTTTTCTTACTGGTATAAGTCGTGCCGAAATGGCGTCATTCCAATTGTCACTGCTGTGTAATGTGAGATGCCGCCACCGATGGTTCTCGTACCGCACGGCACAAACAAGATTTAAAACGAGAAGAAGAGTCGCAATTATGCTTTGGCCCAAGAGCGCTGGTATAAAAAGAGAGTGTAAATAAACGATAGAGAGAATAACACACTGAAGGTGCGGCGTAAATGGCCGTGACAACCCATGACTCCAAGGCATGCGTGTGTGCCCCTTATGTATGTATATGTATATGTATATGAGTAGACAGATGTTTCTAATTGTATTTCTGTTGCTTAGATCCTTCCCTTCTTAATCCAATTCGACTTCTCTCTTTCTCCTTCTTCTTTAGTCTCTTTAGAAAAAAAAATCCAAGCATAAAAAAAAATGTCAACGAGGAAATAAGAGCATTAATAAATAAATAAAAAGAAAATCATTGTACTCACAAATGAGCCGGTGTCCTTTATAAGGTGCTTATGATCATAAGAGAATCAAAAGAGACATGGAGCAAAACGACCGCCCCCTGCCCTCCCAATCACCCATCACAGTTGCCTTTCATCTATATATAAATAACAATCATAATAATAAATAAAAAACAAAGTAATTCACATCACACAGTTATATATATATATATATATATATATATATATATATATATATATATACGCAACGGTCTCCGAGTTTTGTGCTGCGCGGTTTCACAGGAGAGTTGCTTCGTCACCAGCATCCATAAGTGTCACATACGGAGTAAAATAGATTTCATTTGGAATATCATCTCCCAAAACGGCACGTCCACCAGCCCGTTTCCACACTTGCACCCCACTGCTCACACTCTCACCGCCATGCGCCCCCACATTCCCAGTCCCATTGATTTGCCGCGGCACCGACACATCCCCCTCCTTTTGATCCGAGCTGCTCGTGCGGAGAAAAACAGTCATTTCCCCTTGACACGGGCCAACAATAATATTGCGTACAGACGCATCGCTCAATGATCGTTTTTCTCCACCATACATGTCATTTTCGCCTGCTGACATCATACGCCAACTGAGTCGCACAAATGCCTCGTAAGGTCCTTCCCTAACTCCCGACACACCACCCATTTGGTCCACACTGTCATCCCCACCACGGCTTTGACTTCTACGCGAGAAACAGTTGTCAGCTATTTTTTCCCCGAATATTTTCCACTCTTCACTCCAGAGGAACATACCGTTATTTGTGCAGTCCAGTGAAAGCGTCATGGGCTCTTCCCAAATAAGTGGAGTTTCAAGCATACGTTTATCGTACATTTCTTGTTCCTCTGTCGTTGGTGGGCGCCACGATCTACCGCCCTCTACAAGGTTGCTTTGCAAAGGGGCATAATAAGGCGCAACGGAGAGAAGCACATGAGGCTCCTCACTGGTGGACTGCAGGTGAAAGTCAACTGCCCACGCACGGTAATCATTTGGGGACCGAGAAATTATGCACTCATGAGATGGTAACATTTTCTCGGGGTGGGGCACATCGCCACCCCCATTACGGCGCGCCTCATCTCTCTTGTCATGTGGCTCTGGTGACCTTTTCACACTAAGACCGCATCGACCACTGAACGCGTGGTGTGAACGCCATGTAGTGGCCTCTGCCGCAAGGTCGCCTGTAAGAGGCATCCCATTGGCATCAACA